CTCACTGCACCCAGTACAGGGCTGACTCCCCTCACTGCACCCAGTACAGCTGTCTCCCCTCACTGCACCCCAAGACAGGGCTGACTTCTCACTGCACCCCAGCACAGGGCTGACTCCCCTCACTGCACCCCAGCACAGCTGACTCCCCTCACTGCACCCCAGCACAGGGCTGACTCCACTCACTGCACCCCAGCGCAGGGCTGGCTCCCCTCACTGCACCCAGTACAGCTGTCTCCCCTCACTGCACCCCAGCGCAGGGCTGGCTCCCCTTGCTGCACCCCAACACAGGGCTGACTTCTCACTGCACCCCAGCACTGACGCTGTCCCTGTCTGTGCCAGTTTGTCAGTCGGGGTAGATGTCCCTGAAATATGGCCATGTTTCTTCCCCAGCTCTGGGATGGGTACGGGACTCACTGAGGTGACAGGCAGACCACGAAGCCGTCCCAGGGATGACATGCCAGGCCCTGTGCAGCGTGTACGGCGGCAGCACAAGGCTAAGCTTTGGAATCACTGCAGGCCACTGACCGTTGGGTGAGGTTGTTGCTGGGTGCTAACTGGCTGCTGTCTCCCACAGGCATCGTCTCCAAGTCCTACGAGTGCCGGCTGAAGGGGCAGGGTGCAGCCTTCGTCGAGACGGACAGCCCCTTCACGGCGGCCGCCCTGGCAGAGGAGGCCCCAGTCAGGGACAAGCCCCCACGCAGCAAGCGGCCGGTGGCTCCGGCCCAGCAGGTCCAGCAGGTCATCATCATCCAGGACTATGATGGCGAGTTCGCTGTCGACGCCTCGGTGGAGGAGACGGCTGCGGCCACGCTGCAGACCCTGGCGATGGCCGGCCAGGTGGCACGGGTGCTGCACATCAGCGAAGACGGCCAGGTCATTGCCACCAGTCAGAGCGGGGCGCACCTCCCGGAGCAGCTGACCGAGGGTGCAACACAGGTGGTAGTGGTCGGAGGCCCAGTGGACAGCGGCGAGGTGGACGGGCGTCTCCTGCAGCAGGTCAGCAAGCAGGAGCTGGTGAGCCTGTCCGAGGCTGGCCTCACACCCCCGGACTCGTCTGCACTGGACGCCCTGCTGTGCGCCGTGTCCGAGCTGGGGGAGGTGGAGGGGCGGGCAGGCCGCGAGGACAAGGGCCGGTACGGCCACAGGGATGTGCTGGTCCAGATGTCCGGCCAGGACGCACTGCCCGCCCCTGCCGGCCCTGGGACACCCGAGCTTCCACTCTTCCCCGACGCACAGAGTGGCCCAGGTGAGCTGGGGCCCGTGGAGGTGGTAACGCAGGTGGTCCGGCCCTCAGCCCTGCTGGCCTCACAGGAGAGGGCCCAGGTGGCCTTTAAGAAGGTTGTCCAGGGTGTGCTGCAGTTCGCCGTGTGTGACCCCTCGGCCGCCGACCAGCTCCTCCATGAGGGGGTCACGCAGGTCATTGTCAACGAAGAGGGCGCGGTGCACATGGTGGCCCGGGAGGGCGCCCCACTCATCATGCAGGGGGTGGCTCCACGCGGCCTGCGGGCACCCACCGAGCACTTGGACCTGGTGGAGTCGGATGGCGAGGTCTCGCAGATCATTGTAACAGAAGAGCTTATCCAGGCCATGGTCCAGGAGTCAGCCACCGGCTTCGCTGAGGGCGCCACGCATTACATCGTCACCGAGCTGCCCCCAGGGGTGCAGGATGAGGCGGGTGTGTACTCCCACACCGTCATCGAGGCGGCCGGCTCCCCTGAGGTCCTGCAGGCCGGGGCTGCACTGAGCACAGACGGGGTAGCCCCTGAAGGGCAGGAACAGATGACCAGCATGGTCATCTACACACAGAGCGCGTCCCCGGCTGCAGCCGTCGTCCCGAGCCCAAGAGAGAGCTCTGGACTGCAGGATGCGTAGGCCCGCAGCCACCAGGTCAGCCCCCGCCCTGCAGGAGCCACGGAGGACGCAGAGGGACCCAGGCAGTGCCGCCTCTGCCCACCTGGTGGGGCTCACCATCGGTCTGTCCATGGCGTTCCACGTTTGTCTGTCCTGTGTCCCCCAAACCCTCCTCATTTCAGGGGTCATATAGTTGTGCCCTTAAGAGTGAAGCTGGCTGCTGCCCCATGTGGCCTGGGCAGCCCCACCCCCTGAACCCTGGCTGCTTCTGTGTTTTACCCCATGTCAGGCTAAAAGCTGAGCTGTGGTCCCTCCTGAAATGTTAACATCCATTCTTTTTATTCACTTGTCTGGGTTTGGAAACTTGACGTCACAGCGTCCCAGTTTCCGTCCTGAGCATCCTGTCCTGAGTGTCCTCCCCCATCACACGGGCGTCCACTCAGGAGTCCTGGGCCACCTGCACTCCGTGTGCAAGGAGCCTTCTTAAGTCTGATTCCAAAAGGCCTTGATGTCCATGTTCATTTGAAAGGCGCCCGGTAAGACAACCAGTCCACGTCTGATTTTGTCTATTTTGGGCAGTAGAGCCTCTGTATGAAATACACATTCTGGAAGACATTGTTCATATCAATATTTTGCTTTTTATAATAAAAGTTTGTTCACATTAATACCTTTTTTGTTTTGGCAGGATTTATTTGTGGTTCATGTCACTACAAACAATCTAGACTGACACCTTAATGGATAGAAAAGCCCACTCGAGCCACCGCTTGGCCAGTCCTCGGTGCACAGCGGGGCTTACGGCAATGGTCGAGTGCAAGTTTGTGTTCTCTGAAAATTTGTTTCTTGGCATAAGTGCGCGTTATTTCTCTTTCTGAACTGTAAGATAACTGCCTCACCCAAATGCTAAGGTTGCTTTTGTTCTGTTTCTGGTTAATTTTAAATAAAGGAAAGCATTGAAAGCCATCAGGGTGGTGTTTTCTTTCCCATGGCCAACAGCTGTGACAAGGGCAGAGTGTGGCTTCAGAAAGGCCTGGGCTAGTATCAAACCTCCAGCTTCACGCTGCTTGCCGTGTCTGACGCGGGTCCACTGACGTTGTCTTCCGTGCTCAGAACTGGAGGGTCAGCCTCAGAACAGGGAGTGCGTCGTCGGATGGTCCTGGCCCAGGCTGGCCTGCTGGCCACCCCTTACTTGTGTGTCCTTCCACCCCAGCTGCCCGCCTTACCGCGTCAGTGCAGACCCTCCGAGGGTCCCACATAGTTAACTCCATGTGACTCAGCTGGTCCTTCCCCTCACTTCCCTGCAAACGATGACACCACCAGCTCCTGCGTGTGACCAGCGCTGAGGTGGCCTTTACACAGTGATGCCCTTTCTAAGCCTCACATGTGTTTTGTGGGGAAGATTCCAAGGCAGTGTCCTGCCTCACTTCTGCTGGTCTTGCAGAGTTGACCCTCGGCTATGGTGCAGGTGCCACTGGCCAGCTGCTATAATAAAGTTCAGGTCACTGTGTCCTAGGTAGAACTTAACCCTGCCGTGGCAGCCAGCACTGGCCCCAGGGCAGCTGCATGTGGCCTGGTCTGTGGTCACCACAGAGCCAGGGGTGATCTGCTTCTCAGGACCACTGGGTGCAGGCCGCTGCTGACACAGGTTAACGAGTGGCTTCTCCAGCAAGTCTGAAGAGGAGGGCAGACAGGGCCCAGGGATGCTGGCTGGCCACTTCTGTCACCACCTGATCCTGGAGTGGAGGACAGACCAGGCAAGGCCCCCACAGTACCCCTGCCCCGTCAGCATACAGGCATGCGCTGAGTCGTCTCAGGAGTAGAGAACCTCTTGTCTGAGGTGCCTCTGGGCGGACTGCTCTCCCAGCCTTCCCAGGCACAGCACGGCTCTTCACCAGCGCTCCAGAAGGACCTGAGGTGGCCCTGACCGCCAGTGTCAGCCAGCAGTGGATGGTGACAGTGGAGGCTGGCCCAGGTTCTGACCAGAACCTAACCCCAAGGCTGAGTGTGTGGGTAGAAGGGCCCTCCACGGACTGCCGGGCTGGGATTTCAGTCCGCCGTAACCAGGGCTTTCTTCCAAGTGTCTCTGGGGGACTGCAAGCCAAGCCTGTTCGTGGCTTGTACCCCAGAAGAGGACACGTTAGTGAAGCGAGGGCTCACTCCTACCATGGGGCCACAGGGGGAGGTGACCCGCCACGAGCCCTCGCACTGAGGGTCGACCACATCTCCTGACCGCGGCACCAGTGGGCATCCTGGATGGCGGCAGCGGATGGCCGGAAGCCCTTGTGGTTCCACCGGCTCCCCCTCCCCCAGCAGTGGGTACATCACGGTCACTGTGTGGCCTTTGCTTTATCACCTGATGCGCCCTGCGGAGACTGAGCCGAGGCCCAGGCCTGGCACAGGGACCAAACACTGTAAAGAAACGAGATGGCCAGCAAACGGCCTCGGCCTTCAGTCTCCTGATAGGACACCTTGGGGAGACGGCGGAGAGGAAGGAAGAGGTGAAGCAGGCTGCCCTGGGGCTCAGGCCTGTCTTTCGGCTGGGAGGTGTCACACCTCACCCCGCACAGTGCACAGCTCCGGGCCGCGCCCCGAGGTGCACCCACACCTCCCCGCCGGCTGCCCCGCCCACTGGAGGGAAGCTCAGCGAAAAGTGCCTCGGTGCGCGGCATGGGTGAGTCATTAAAGCTTCAGCGGGCAGGCCGTCTGACCTGGAAAGGGGGGGAATTAGCAGCTGTCACTGGCTAACGAGTTAATTTTCCTGATAAACCTGACGTGAAAGCCATTTGCAGATGGGGCTGGTGGGAAAACCTAAAACCTGGGTGGCGGCATGCCTGGACATGAGGGCAGAGAGGTGGCCTGAGGCTGGGCATCACAGTCAACATGCTGGTGAGGGACTGAGGGCATTGGTGTGGCGTAGACGTGGGCTGTTGGACGGCCTCGTAACACTCTGCCATCTCCATAGGACAGGATGACGCCATTCCAAGATTGTCACCGTCAGAGCTCCAGGTTTCCAGGGCGGCTTCACTGCAAACGCCCTACAACAGTCACCTCAGGAACACGATGGGACCCAGGGGGGCAGAGGTAAATCAGGTGTCTCCCAGCACCACCCCCACTGGCTCCTGGTGACTGCGGGTCCCCTCTGCCCTGTCTGCTGGCACTCTCCCTTCTCTGTCCCATTTCAAGCCCCACGAGTCAGAAAAAAATCAGCACAAAATCAGTGTGTGATGATGGTCATCAGGAATCCAGTCCCAATATGATGCCAGCTGTCTCCTCACAAAGGCCATCTTGGCTGTCACCCAGAAGACATGATGAGAACTTAGGGTGCAGGGTGCCAGAGTTGGGGGTCACTGCCAACAACAGCCCCTGAAAAGGAAGCTGGTGCATGCGCAGCCCAGGACTAGATGGTCACAGGGCAGACTGCTGCATCTCTCAGAGCAGCCAGTAGATTCAAACCACCAGCCTTTTAGTTAGCAGCCCAAAGGGTAACACTGTCCACTCCCAGGACTCCTTCACTGCTGCTCTAGGACTCATCGTCACACAGTGCTCATGGACCTCATGGGCTACACAGGTTCACTCCAGTGCATCACATGTCCCGGAAGTGAGTCCTCTGAGAGGTGCACTGCCCACCCCTCACAGAGGATGACACCGGGGAAGCCGGAGAGGCGTGAGTCTTGGGAGACTGAGGAAAGACTCTGCTCCGTCTCCACAGTGGCTGTGGGGAGACAGAGCGAACGATCCAGGAGCAGCGGTGGAGCTGTGCGGAGAGTCCTTAGCTGATGCCGTGGCCTCTGCCCCTGCCAGGCCATAGTCTGCCCACTGCACGTTCCAGCCTCTGTGCCAGACTCTCCCAGGATATGGTGCTCTCGGAGCTGGTGGGAGTAGCTGGCTGGTGGCACAGAGTGTGACAGACGGAATTGCTTCCCCTTAAAAAGACACAAGTCAATCCAGGCCCCAGTGCATGTGCACATGACAATAATTAACTGCAGGTTCTGCGGGAGTCGCTTGGGTCTCATTCCAAACTGACCCACAATCCACAAAGACCTTAGAAGCCACAGTTGTTAAACAGAATCAACATCTCTTCTCCCCATGAGCCGGGCTGGCTGGCCTCTGTGAGAAGACTCGATGCAAGTTTCCACTCCCTGGAGTTTTCGTTTGCTGGAAAGCTTGCTCTCCTGTCTTGATTGTCTCCCATATATTTATTCCGCCTTCTACCTAATTTACATCTTCAAGTTGAGTTGTGCAAATAGACTCAAGATGGCAGCCTGTCAGGAAAACCATTGGTGACTTGGAGAGGCTATTTATCGGTGGCTCCTAGGGGTCTCTGACTGTTTAAACATATAGTATAAAAGGTATTGGTATACAGCAGTATGTAATTTTGTTTCTTGCTCAGATAACTAAACATGGCCAAGATGATGATTATAGAGCTAATTGATAGGAATTAGCATCAGACCATTTGAAGCAACTGACTCAATTACTTTCTACTAGCTGGGAAGGGAGATTCTCACTTGCCCGTCAGAATGCAGGGAAATGAAGTGCTTTCACTCCGTGGACTGTGAACTGGAAAACTCTCTTTGTTTGGACATCTTGTGACGTGGCTGGTGATTTGGCAATTCTGAGACCATCAGCCGTCCCACATCTCAGAGCAGACATGCACGACCTGGAGCCAGCTGACAAGTGGGGCAGCCTCTCCATACACGGGGTTCTTGGAGACTGGACAACAGCCCCTTCTCTTCTTTTCAGACATAGAATTACTCACTTCTTACTCATCATTACATATGTGGTTTCTTGAATTTTTTTTTTTTAAATGCTTGGGTGACGATAGCTATTCAAATGTGGACGGAGGCGTGGCTCGCGTTCAAACCTTGACCCTTGCTCCGCTCTAACTCAGCATTTCATGATTTCCAAACCATCTGCCCAGACCTGCCCAGCGTGCAGGTGAACTGCACCTGTCCGCTGTTTCTGGCTTGCCCACCTAGCGGTGGCCCCCATGTAAACAATGTGGTCACCACAGGGTGCAGCTCGCA